TTTCGGCGTGCGCGCGCGAAGAAAAAACCAATGTGTCCCGCATGGTATTATTTGACAGGGATGATGGCCCTGGCAGGTGCGCAACCGTTGTCGCAGAAGTTCGAAAAAGTTGCTCGCAAAAGCCCGTTTGACAGAAATGTTTAAAAAGTGTTGGGTTTCCTACGAATCCGCAAGAGCGCGCGGGATGAGATTTTGACATTTTTTTGTTGAAAAACCATTGGTTTTTTGATGTTTTTATGTTAAAATCGCTCCGAACACTAAGCTTTTGGAAGGATTTCGTCTTGCGCGCGCGAATGTCCACTTTACCTTATTTTTTGCAAGGGATTCTTGAAATTTGATTATATTAGAACAAGAAATGTCATTTTATAGTGTTTTTTGCAAGGGAAAGCGGGGGGGAACAAAACAACCGGATCTTGATCACATCGAATTACCTGAGGCTTCCTCACGAAAATGATGAAAATGTAGCTGCGGCCTAGGCGGCGCAGGGGGGCCGTGCACCAGGGGTCCCAACAATAATTATTCTTTAGAATTAATAATGTTCAACAACAACAACAACAACAACAACAACAACAACAACAACAACAACAACAACAACAACACCAACAAAAACAACAACGACGCACCACGAGTTCCCTTTTCAGCCACGGACCCAGGGACAATGAATGACCGTTCGGCCTCCTCACTCTGACCACGCGCGAACTCTTCTCAATCTTCGAGATAGCGTATTCACCGCCGCTTTACTGTTGAAAAAGTCCCCCCCCTCTTCCTTCAGAACACGGGCCTCCCCCCCCTTCGAAAATGCCCCCCCTCTGATGGACCTCTGCTGGACTCCCCCTTCCCCCCCCCTTCACCCCGGCAGAACCCCCCCTTCACCCCTCCACCCCCCCCCCCTTTTCCGGAAAACCGGGGGGGGTCACTACCGGTTCGAACCCCCCCACCCCGCCCTTTCCGCCGGCAAACGACTCCCGGGCCCCTACCACCGTCCGCACCACATCACCCACCGCTGTTCCCAGCACCACCGTCCCCACCACCACTGTCCCCACTTTTCCCACCACCGCTCCCACTGTCCCCACCAATGCCCACACAACTGTCGCACTGTCTCCACCACTGTTCCCACCATGGTCCCACTCCCCACTTTCCCCACGGTCCCCACTACCGTCCCACTGTCCCCACTGTCCCCACTGTCCCCTCTGTCCCACTGTCCCATTGTCCCCGCTGCTATCCCACTGAGCTGTCCCACTGTTCCCACCACTGTCCCCTCTGTCCCCACCACTGTCCCCACTGCACCCCTGTCCCGTTGTTCCACCACCGATCTCGCCACCGCCCTCACCACTGACCCCACCACCACCGTCCCCACCTCTTTCCCGATGTCCCCACTGTCCCCACCACTGTCCCACTGTCCCCACACCACTGTCCCCACCACCACCGTCCCCACCACTGTCCCACTGTCCCCACCACTGTCCCAGTGTCCCCACTATTCCCACCATTGTCCCCGCTGTCCCCACCAGTGCCCCGCCAGTGTCTCACTGTCCCCACTGTCCCCACCATTGTCCCACTACGGTCCCGCTCTCCCCATTGTCCCCACTGTCCCCACCACTGTCCCTTTTCCATCCACTGTCCCAACGTCCCCAGTCCCCGCAGCTGTCCCATTGTGCTGTCCCACTGTCCCCACTGTCCCCACACTGTCCCCATTGTCCCCACCACTCTCCCCACTGTACCACTGTCCCACCACCGTCCTCACTACCGCCCGCCATCACCACTGTCCCCACCACTACCGTCCCCACCGCTGCCCCACTGTCCCCACTGTCCCCACCACTGTCCCGCTGTCCCCTCGCCACTGTCCCCACCACCACTGTCCCCACCACTGTCCCAATGTCCCCACCACTGTCCCATTGTCTCCACACCACTGTCCCCCCCAGCACTGTCCCACTGTCCCGAGGAGCGCGAATCGTTTGCTGGCGCCGGGGGGGTTCGAACCGGTAGTGGCCCCCCACCGTTCATGATGGACGGGGGGGGCAGGGGGGGGGGGTCGAACCAGTGACCCCCCGCGATTGGGATGGGTTGGGAATCCCCACTGACCCCCCCGGTTTTCCGCCAGCAGCGGAAGAACACGCTCTGTCCAAATTTCAAGTTGATCCCTTCCCTGTGGACGCCCGAAATTGGTACGGAAAAAATGGGTACAATGCCCAACAACAAATGTTGTCCCAAACAAACAGCGGCCGCTGTTGGGCGGGCGGCCTTCTGTCTCAAATGGACACAGGCGAATCCTGTTCAAACTGAACAGGAACTGCTGTTGGGCATCGTACCCATTCTTTCCGTACCCATCTCGGGCGTCCAAATTCCCGAAACGCGGGCGACGTCGTCGCGCGCGCATCCCGAAACCCGTTCCAAAACTCCGGGCGCCGCGGGGGTTTCGAAATCGAACGCCCCGAAACATATGAAAACAATAATGTTCAAAGAAGCCTGCGCGCGCGCCCCTGCGAACTCTCAAAAACCAGGGAACTTTTGAAACTGGAGCATTTTTCATCACATACGACCAGCCGTCCCCCTCGCGCGCGCGTGTCGAAATTATTCAAACGCACTCGCGCGCGCGCTTTCCCAAAAATCCCTCGCACAAAAAGCGGGGCGGCACGTGCGCGCGCGTCGTCGCGCGAGCGTGCCAGAATCCTTCGAACCACCTGAATGTCGGAAGGATTTGTTCGAAATCAAATGCCCAGAAAACATATGAACACTAATTGTTTCGCAACAGGAACTGCCTGCAAAGTGAGCCCTCTCTCTTGCCTGGTTCTGCAACATGTTCACCAAATGCCACCCGACGCGCATGTCGCGCGCGCATGTCAACATCATTCGAACGCCCTCGCGTGTGCACAAAAAGGGGCACTACCCCTGTCAAGTACTACTACGCGGGCCACTCGACGCGCGAATGTTGAAATCCGCCAAGAACCTCCATCATCGACGCGGGGGCACTATCATCGTCATCGGCGCGATCAACATCGGCATCGCACTGCCCTTGCCGTCGCCATTGCCATCATCGTCACCGACATGAGTCCCCACTACTACATACCGCCGCGTCTGCCGGCGGCGACGTTGCCATGATATCGCGCCCGCCCGACTCACCGACTCGCCTTGATGTGCCCGAGGGTCTCAATCGGCACGAGTCTACGCTCATCGATGTCAAGTCGGCGCTTTCTCATCGCTTACGAGGCGCTGGCGCACGCGAAGGCACTCGAAAGGCGGGACTCCGAAGACATACACGGCTCCCACGAGCTGCTTCCAAAGCACGCCCGACCTCCGACGCCGTGATCTTGTCTCACAGCGCGGACCCCCGGAGGCCTGGTCTGGACTCTTCTCCGGGGCCCGCTTCTCACCCCGAGCCGCTTCCTGACGGCCCAGAGGGGGGCCGCGCGAAGGCCCCAGGGGGCCGAGAGCCTGCAATGTGTTTGTCGGAGGTGAGGGGGTGAGATCGAAGTGGAACGGAGAGCCCCCCTACCGGGAAATCGATTTCGGTTTCGTGTTCGTGCGTGCCGTGCGGGCGAGGCGAAGCTGCGTGGGCGGGCGAGAGAAAGTCTCCTGTGGCTGAGGCGCGGCCGAACCAAATGTCTCCCTTCCGGGCGGCCGGGGCCCCGCGGTGTCCCGCCGGTGTCCCGCTGGTGTCCCGTGTGGCTGAGGCGCGAAGGCCCCAGGGGGCCGAGAGCCTGCAAAGTGTTTGTACGTATATACCTACAAAAACATGATACAGCACGACTGTCAGAGTGAGGAGGCCGAACGGGCATTCACTGTCCCTGGGCGCGTGGCTGAATAGGGAATTCGTGGTGAGGATTCTGCTTGTTGCGTTGTTGTTGCTGTTGTTGATGTTGATTGTCGTCGTTCCACCCGCGACCCACCGGCGACCCACCCTGCGACCCACCCCGCGACCCACCCCGCGACCCACCCCGCGACCCACCCCGCAACCCACCCGCGACCCAACCCGCGACGAACCCGCGACACCCACCCCGCGACCCACCCGCGACCCACCCCGCGACCCACACGCGACCCACCCCGCGACCCATCCGCGACCCACCCCGCGACACACCCTCGAGGGAGGAAAAACCACCCGGACCCGACAATTGACGTTAAGTAAACAGCCCTGGGCGTTTACTAAACATTCCTGCCCTGTTCGATTCATTCCTTGTGCGCGTTTACTAAGCGGCTTCGCTTGTCGGGGTGACCACCCCGCGACTCCCACCCCCCACCCGCGACCCACCCGCGACCCACCCCGCGACCCACCCGAGACCCATCCGCGACCCATCCGCGACCCACCGCGCGACCCACCCTCAAGGGAGGAAAAACACCCGGACCCGACAATTATTGACGTTCAGTAAACAACCCTGGGCATTTCCTAAACATCCCTGCCCTGTTCGATTCACTCCTTGTGTGCGTTTACTAAACGGCTTCGCTTGCCGGGGTGACCATTATGGGGTGAATTTCTGCCCTCTACACCCGCGACCCACCCGCGACCCAACAACGATCCACCCGCGTCCCACCCGCGACCCACCGGCGACCCATTTGCGACCCACCCGCGACCTACCCATATTGGCTTGACGAACAAATCGGCGCCTGAGGCGGGCTCGTTGTATAATTTGTGAAACTTTGGCACCTGCGGCGGGCTTCCCCAAAGTCTCGCAAACCGCCGACGTCCCCACCGCCCCCTCACTCGTATCCGCATCTGCGGGGTCTTGCGTAAGCAATATGAGGCACTGCGGCAACCTGCACCACGAATACCAGAGCTCAGAGAGCAAAGCAGAAAAGCTACACACAGCGTCGCGATGGCCTCACGGCGCAACAAGGCCTGGGGAGGACAGAAGAAGCACTAGCAGGAGCTCGACCCGCCGAGGCTCGAATCTAGGAGTCACCCGGCATGTCCTAGAGCCAAGCAGAGGAAGATACGGCACAATCACAGCCCCAGAGATCTTTGGTTCCATCGTTCCGAGGGCGGCGAGGTCGAGCAGGATGGCGGCAGCCTTGCTCATCGTCTCCTTCGCCTCGGCGCGGCTGGCGGTGTGCTCCTGCCCGCGCGGCGATGCTGGCCCCCCCCCTTGGGAGCCGACGGCGATGGCGACCGCCACGACGACGCCTAACGCGGGTTCGTGTAGTGTCGACCCCAGCGTTGGTTCCTGACTCCACCTGGATCGTTCAACCTTGAACCATCGGCCGTTTCCGGAATGTCAGATCGTTCAACCTCGACCGATTCTAAATCGCCGGCGGCGGCGGTCAACGCTGAACGCCGGCGGCGGGGTCGCCGCCCGTCGACACGACGCGAAGCTACTGTATGGGGCGGGTAGTCAAACTACTGTATAGGGCGCGTAGACATGGGGGGCGAACTAAATGGGGTTTGAAGAAAAGAGCCCCAGGGGGGGGGGCCCTCAGGATTCTTCAGGATGACAACCTAAATGGGGGGTCCTAAATGGCGACCTACATAGGGGGTCACTTTAGGATCCTTCAGGGCCCAGTTAGTTGGGAGCCAGTAGGGGCCCCGAAGGGGCCCCGAAGGGCCCCTTCAGAGCCCTTGCTTCACCCCCCGTCAGGCTGCCCCCCATTACCATCCGCCCGAGCATAGTCCAGGCCAACCTGGAACGACCTCCGTTTTTAGGGAGCCCACAAAGGACGTACGCGCCCAGCTATGTACATGAACACGGCCCCTTGACCCGCGAGACCTGCCGCGCAATACGAACATTCGCGCAATACGAACTCTCGAAACCAGCGCGGATTCATGTACATGTACGTCCTTCTTTCGCTCCTGAGTTTTCAGACACCTGCGCAAAGTCAGAAGTCGACATTCTGCGCCGACGCGACGGAGAGTCAGCCCTGCCCCCTGGGGGCTCCCTGGGGGCTCCCTGGGGGGCTCCTGGCGACAGAGGCACCCTTGCATCGAGAAGGCGCCCGGCCCCGTATAACCCCACTTGGCTACTCCTGGCTCCTCCTCGCACCCATCCCTCATAACCCCTTTCTCCTCCTCTCCTGGGCCGCATAAACACGGAGTCGGAATCGAGCCGGATCGGCTGCGCGAAGAGGCACGGCAGCGCAGTGTGAGCATCGGGCCACGTCGGATCGATCGGATCGAATCGGATCGAATCGGATCGAACGGGGCATGGGAGGAGAAGCGCAGCAGCAGCGGCGGCGGCGGCGGCGGAAGCAGCAGAGAGGGGGAGGGAGAGGGGGGAAGACAGGCAAACCTCGCCGCCCCTCGGGGGGAGGAGGAGGGAGAGAACGACGAGGGAGAGAAGAAGGAGGAGAGAGGAGAGAGGGGAGAGCGAGGAGGAGGAGGAGGAGGAGGAGGAATGAGGAGGAGGAATGAGGAGGAGACTCGAGGGCCCCAGAAAGAAGGCCTCAGAGAGAACACCTGCAGCACCCATAGGCCACCCCCTTCCTCTGCACCTCCCTGGAGGCCTCCCAACTGGGGTCCGAACAGATGGGGCCTGCGCATCGCGCCGCACCGGCGATACATCGGCGAGACGTCGGCCTGGAGAGAATCGGGCTCCCCATCGAGCGACGCCGCACATGCATCGGCGATGCGGCGCGATCACCCGACCCCATCTGCTCCGACCCCACCTGGGAGGCCCAGCCTTCCGCCAGGCCCCTTCGCATGCGCACCATCGCGCCTCCAGCGCCCTCTGCGGACCCCGCGGGAGGCGGGTTCCTGCAGCGCGGCCTCGGTGGACGCCTTTTTCTCGGACAGCTCCTTGATGCTGCTGCCGAGGGCCTCGATCTTCGCCTGCCGGCGGGACGCCGGTCGCGCCCAAGACCTCCGCCGGCGCGGCCCGCTCGCGGCGGAGCTGTGCCTCCTCTCTCGTGGGGAGAGGGCCCTAGCCCCTAGCCTTCCATAGTGCCAGGAGCGTGGCCCTCCAGAGTTGTACGCGCAGCACCCCGTCACTGCGGACAAGAGTGAAGGTGCGGGCGGAGCGTGTGGGGCGAGGGTGGGTCGCGGGCGGGTCGTGGGTGGGGTACGGGGTGGGTCGCGAGCAGGTCGCGGGCGAGGACGACGACAGCAACAATAGACAAAGCAAAACAACAAGCAGTAACAACAAAAATCATTTTGAGACTGTTCGCTCTTACCTGCTCGCGTGCTCTTCAACACGCAAGTCCCGAGCCCTCGATATCCGGCCTCTTCGTGTTCGATCGCACCACCTACGGGGTATGCCACGCGTAGTTGGCGCAGCCCCAAAGCCAGGGGAAGAGAGAACAGATGGAAGGTGGAGGAATATGGATAGAGCACGAGAGAGATTAGCAGGAAGGGGGGCACGAGCAGAAAGCACGTGGCAGAACCAGACATGCAAACCGGCGGGTCGGGAAGGCGGGCCCAGGCGGCCAGGTCGAGCAAGCGGGTTGCTGAAGCGTGGATCCTGCATGATGCGCAAGAAAGTCTCGAGCGATAGTCCGATTCTCAAATAAACCGTAGGAAATGCTGGAACGAGAGCGCGATTCCTGAGCGTCGAGGGCGCAGTGCCTAAATGAATTGCGAGGAAGTCCCACGCGAGAGCGTGATTCCTGCGTACATTGTGCGGAAGGCCCGCGCGAGAGCGCGATTTTGAAATAAATTGTGAGAATCATACGGAAGCCGCTGAACTTTCACTACTGAACAATAAAGATTGTAGATCCGCCCCCTCTGGTGACCATTGTGTTTTTTGAGTTGAAGTGCTTCCCCCGGGGCTCGCACGCTGCTTTTTATCAGGGGAAAGCACGAGGCTCAAAAAACGTTGTTGGCCCCCGGCTTATAACAACAACGGCTCCCGCCTGACTTCCAGACAATTTAACCAGGACCCCCGTTCCCGCCGCCGTCGCTAACTCAAGAATCGCGCCGTCGCTTGGGATTTCCTAGAAATTCATTATGGAATCGTTCTCTCGGTGCTCTGGAGACGCGCGCTCGCCGGAGACTTGCTTGCAATGTATTCAACAATCGCGCTCTTGCGTTGGAATTCCCCGCAATTTGCTCAAGCGCCGCGCTCCCGACACTCAGGCACCCAGGAGTCGCGCTCACGCTTAGGACTCCCTCAGAGCATGCTGAAGAATCGGGATATCGCTGCCCTTCGTGGCCCCGTTGAAGCCCTTCGTGGCCCCCTCGCTGCCATTCGTGGCCCCGTTGCGGCCCTTCGTGGCCACCTCGCTGCCCCTCGTGGCCCCGTGACAGCCCTTCGTGACCCCCTCGCTGCCCTTCGCGGACCCGTTGCAGCCCTTCGTGGCCCCCTCGCTGCCCCTCGTGGCCCCGCTGCAGTCTTTCGTGGCCCCCTCTCTGCCCTTCGTGGACCCCGTGCGGCCTTTCGTGGCCCCCTCGATGCCCCTCGCGGCCCCGCTGCAACCTTTCGTGGCCCCGTCTCTGCCCTTCGTGGACCCGTTGCGGCCCTTCGTGGACCCCATCCCTGCCCTTCGTGGCCCCCTTGCAACATTTCCTGGTCCCGTCGCTGCCCTTCGCGGCCCCGTTGCAGCCCGTCGTGGCCCCCTCGTTGCCGTCCGTGGCCCCGTTGCACCCCTTTCGTGGCCCCCTCGCTGCCCTTCGTGGCCCCGTTGCGGCCCTTCGCGGCCCCGTCGCTGCCCTTCGGCCCCGCTGCTGCCCTTAAAAGCCCCGTCCTAGCCCTCTGTATGCGCGCGCCCTTCGCGGCCCCCGCTCGTTCGCGCCCGTCGCGGCCTCATGCGCGCGCCCTTTGTGGTCCCGCTGCCGCCCTCCACGACCCCCTTGGTGTCCTACGTGGCCCCGTTGATACCTTCAGTGGCCCCGCGTGCCCTGTGCGGCCCCGCGCGAGTTGCCCCTTCGTGGCCCCCGCTCGTTTGCGCTTCCCGTGGCCCCACACGCATGCGTTTCGCAGCACCGTTGTCGCCCTTCGCGCCCCCCCCCCAGCCCCCCGCGGCCCCGCTGTCGCTCTCGCGCTCGCGTTCGTTCGTCGTCGTCGCCGTCGTCGTCGTCGTCGTTTCCGTCGTCGTCGTCGTCGTCGCGGTCGGTCCCCTGTCCGTCCCTCTTGGGGTCTGGTTGCTGCCGCTGGCCAGGCCGATGGTCCGCGGCCGCCCCGCCGCTTGCCCAGGCCCGGCCTGCAGGGTAGAAAAGATAGACCCCAAGAGGGGGCACGATCGAAGACGAAGAGGGCGGGCATCGAGGGTTCGGGAAATTCACGTTGGAAGACACTCGAGCAGATAAGAGCGAACAGTCTCGACATTATCGTTGTCGTTGTCGCTGTTGTCGTCGTTGCTGTTGTTGTTGAACTTGAATTACTAAACAATTACCAGTATTGGACACCCTGAATGTGCTTTCGTGCTTTCGCATGGGCTCCTGTTGCATTTCCCCCGAAAATGAGGCTCATGCCCAGGCGTTTCGGGGATGCCCCAAACCAGGCCCCCAGCAACAGCCCCCGTCCGACCTGAACGCGATGGATCACCTGGGAAAAAACGACGGGACCAGACCAAGAAGATGGCCGAAATGGGAAAGGAGCTACAGCGTCTTCAACGTGAGCTCGCTGCAAAGAAGTCCGCTGGACCCGACGCCGAAGCCCTGGATGACGATGGAGGTGGCACGCTGGAGCCAGCATCTGAGCGACAGCGCCAGATCGACGACGCCGAGGGCAAGCTCAAGAAGCGCCCGCAGGCGTAGGTTGCGCAAGTACCTGATATGGCACCTGCGCGCGAGAGGCTGCTCAAGGTGCAAGAGGAACTCGACGCCAAGCGTCGCGCAAGCAAACCAATGGGCGCGCAGACCTCCGACCTGTCCCGCAAATGCGCCAGCATGGAGGCAACGATTTCAAAACGTTCGCACGCCCTGGACTAGCGGAAGACTGAAGTCGCCAAGTTGCAGGATCTGGTCGAGCAGGACGAGGCCAAGATCGCAGAGATAAGTCAGCAGTTGTTGGCCATAGGAGCAACAGCGAAAGGAACTGGCTTCACGTTCAAATGTGGCGGTGCCTGGTGAACCAGGCGCGTACAGGCAGCAACGTCGGGACCTGGGCTCATGGCGGATGCGCTTGAACAACTCCGAAAGAGCCACGGGGTTGACGAGGAAGCGGTGGGCAAGATCAAGCAGGACGAGCAGCTCGCCAAAGTCCTGGTTCCAGCGGCAGCGGCGGCAGGTTCGGAACGACGGGCATCACCTGATGCAGCTGGAGCAGGTGCAGGAGAAGGCGACGCAGCCCCCTTCTACGCCACAAGCCGCGGTCTCTGCGCAGGCTGCTGACGTTGCTGTTCTCAGGGGGCGCCTTGATCGCATCGGCTGTAAGACTGGCGATATGCGCGAAGAAGAGATACACAATATGGCAAACAGGCTTTCAAGTGGAAGCAGAAGCAACCTAAGGAGGCGATCAAGCCGTTCTAGATATTTGGGCGCGCTAGTGTTCATGGGATTGCTGGGTTTGATATTTCTTCCATGGTGGACACGGTGGACACATACGACGTGAAGGACAAGGGCAGGCTGATGATCATTCTGCATTGGGAGGTGTTGCGGCGCCCACTGGGGGCACGATTGGGTTGAATCCCGCATCGAAGGAGGTTTCGCCTAGCAGGCTCGACGCCACGCCCTGGTGCCCATCCTAGGAGTTTGTAGGTATGGACGCTTTGATGGCTAAACACCTGGCCAGGGGTCGGGACCTCCCACGCAGCCCACGGGCCACTGGAGGGTCGGCCAAGCGTGTCTCTTGGGGGCCTGCCAGGTATAGGTATGCAGAGGAATCCTGAATCCCTCCATACTGGTGCCCAAAGCGCTCGAGGCCCCAGACGGAACTGGCAAAGGAGGCAATGTGCAATTTACCATCCAGATTCCCTGTCGAAGTGCAGTTCGGCGATGACATCGTGGGCTACGCTGAGCACTGGATCTGGGATCTTCGAGGATCCTGAAAGGTGCGAGGCTGATCTGCACGTCTACCTTACGCACGGTGGACGCGAAGTACTCATCAGGAGGTTGGAAGCTACATGCAACTTGCCCTTCGGATCCGAGCCGGTTGCAGATAGTTGTGTTGATGCTTGGCACGAGGCGCGTGAATATCGGCAGAGTGTCTCTGGTTTCCTTCCGCATTGCGACGAGGATGTATGGGAGGTTATGGCAGCTCAACATTGGCGTGATCTGGACTGCATAGTGGACATGATGGTGGACACGCTTCGGGACCGCATACCTGGTGCTTGCCGTCGTCGGCGGTCATGGCATGGCCAAGGCAACCGGAGCCCGACAGGTTCGCAGACATGGGTGGGGGAGTGTCCAGAGCTGTTGGCTACGCCAAGGGTTCGGGTTCTCGACGACAAATGCATAAAGGAGGTCCCGGCTGGAGGTAAAATACGACAAGATGGCCTACTCAAGCACCTCCCCGAGCAGGCGAGCGTGGAGGCTAAAGTCAAAGACTATATGGGCGCGATCAACTGCACGGGTGCAACGTCGTTGGTCGAGTTCTTGGCACTGAAGCCCGATTGCTACGTGCCGGTGGTAGAGGAACACCATTGTTTGGATGACTAGGTGGCCACGGTGCAGAAGCAAATGGCAGATGTCGGGTATCACGGCATTTGGGGGGCTGCCGAAGCTTCTGACGGAGACGGGTCGCACGGCGGCATCGCGTTGCTGGCTCGTTCCAACATCATGGTCACAGGGGCGCCTTGTGTTTCGCAGGCAAAGTTCGACAGCGCGCGAGTGGTAGCTGGGCATGTCCATTGGGGCGTCCCCCAGGGCATCGTGATGATCAGCGTGTACTTTCACACCGCCGAAGGCAATCTGGACATTTTGGGCGCGATTCTCAGGAACTGCGCCATGCTCAA